ATGTACCGCCTGGCTCATATCTTCACTATATCGACGAGCCTCTTTTATCTTTTCTTCTTGATGAACGATCAAGGCATGTTGTTGGTCAGACCTTTCTATTACTTGGTCTCTTTCACGAAGTAATTGACCATACTGAGCTAATCCATCTCTTTCTTTATCATGTAGCTCCTCTAGGTCTTCTCTGTATTTTTCAGCGGTTTCCCACCACTTTTGTGCTTCTAACCGAGTTTTTGTTAGGTCATCCTGTATTAACTTGATCGTCTTTGCCTGTTCTGCAAGCGCACTCTCAAGATGTGCTATTTCATCACTCATATCCCAGAATAGACTATCTTGTTCAAGCCTTGGAATTTTCATTGCTTGTTTAGTCTCTTCTTGATAATCAGCACAATCATTCTTAAGGCGCTCTATTTCATGGTCCTTCTTTTTACATTGCCTTTTTAGACCATCTATTGTAAGGGTTGCTTCTTGTTCTTTTTCTTCGAAGGCCCTCAGCTGAGCTTCCATGATTTCTACCCTTTTATTTAAGGCATTGACCTGCAATTGTAGTTCTTCATTGACTAATGTTGTCGTGAATGTAGTAGATGGTTGGGGTATCCTTCTACTTTTTCTCCATTCTTCATATTCATGGGATGTAGACACCTGAACCTTTCCAAGTTCTTTATCCCCTATATAGACTGGTCTTTCCCATGCTTTCTGGACAGCGGATACTTCTTCAAAGCTATGGGAATAATGGCATAGACTCAACCCTCTGAGCTCTTCTTGGGTTGGCACAGTCTGGGTTCTCATAAGTTGTCTCATAGCTATCTTAGGAGAGTAAGCTATACAACCCCTAAGACCTAGTAGTGGTATGCTCAGGTAATCTCTGCATCGTACAAGAATATAATCGGGTCGGAACCAAGGGCAAATCCATGATACGTGCTCTATGTTCCAATTTTCTAACTCGGTTTTCCATTCTAAAGCTTGACGATGCTGAAGAGGAATTTTTGCAAAACTTCTTAAAGGATCAGGGAATATACCCATGTGACTTGAAGCATAGAAGTGAGTGATGCCCCATACATATAGTAATGAAGTGCAACATCTAAGTTTTTTCCCCTGTTTCTGTCGGCAAAAATCTACTGAAAGCAGGGTATCAGCAAGAATTGCAGGTATAGGACTCTTAGAGTACACATCCCAGGCAAAGAATGCATCTATTGCAGCATGATCCACAATGTTCACATGTAATGGGAATAATATGATTCCAAACATTGCCAATGCTAGAGTTTTGTTGAAGGTAGACCAATCTTTCTTTTCAGCCAAAGAGATTAAGTGGTCTTCTATTACGGACATTTTCCAACCTCGGATGTTCCCTTTTCCCTCTAGGATGGATTGATGAGGAGGCAGTCGTATGATAGTAGCAACCTTACTCACGGCCACATATACTCCTGAGCAGACATAGACCCCAACTGATTGAGGCCATCTAACCATGAGTTCATATTCTTCTAAGGTTGGTACTAAATCAAACTGCGAAAACTCAAAGCAGTGTAGGTCGAGGTTCTAGAAGTGGACCAATGCTCTAACAAAGATTGGATTGATGCTGATTTTCAAGAGGTCAAGAATTCTTCCATAAGATTTCTCAAAATTGGCACTAACCTCTGGCGGCATATATGTACTCAACTACCTTAACTTCTCTACACGGCATAGAAGGATTTCCACTTTCTTTAACTGTCTATTACTTGATCCCTCCATTATCTAAAAGAAATGAAAATGCATGATATGAGGATGAGTCCTTGTAAATGCATGCATGTAAGTGTTTGTTTTTTCTAAGTATTATCATGTTTTATTCCTAATATGATACATGGTAATACTTGGTTTTTCTTTAAAAAGAAAACTATCTATATGGATGTTTATGGATTTTGATGAAGAGAGTCCTATTTTCTTCTCTTATTTTTATGAAACCTTTATCAAGAATTTTTATTTTATAAAGGCATTTTTATGGCTTTAATTTGTTTTTAAATTTTTTATGACCCTTTATCTCTTCTGTCGGTCAACGTGGCTACTTAGCTTACAAAGAACCTGAAACTAGGCTAGCTTAACTGAAGACTGTCTGAGATAAAGTTGGCTTATCTTATCACTTTTTATGATTTTTAGGGTTTTTCATTATTTTTGTTTGTTGTATGATTACCCTATGCTAATGCATCAATACAAATGCAGCAAACGAATGCACACACAATTCATTCATCCACGAGCAGAGCCACGCTTATTTAATCACGAGGTAGGGTTTTCCTGCAGAAACGTGCTTGGTTTGGGTGGTTCTAAACTGTTCTCACCAAGGCCAAAGGTCCCCAAGGTGCCCCCATTATAGGGACCTCTCAATCTGTCAGTCCTCAAGTCATGCACGGAACTCCGTGTCGACATCCTTAGACCAAAAGAAGAGAGTTATCACCTTGAGTTGGTGGTTTCCGACAATGGTTGTAGCCCCATGTCCCAACAAGCCGGTCGTATCTGCCACCCACTCCCTATAGGTATTCACTCTTGCCCCGGGTATAGAGGGACTGTAGTGTGCAAGGGTTTTTGTGTGCACTTTATATTTCAAACAATTTGCAGAAAATAATCATACAACAATTTATTAAAGCCATACAATAAAATATACGGAAAAGGGTAAAGGCGTAATTTCAAATCTTTACTCAGTTTGAATTTATCTGTCACTAAATGGGATCAACTCTCTAGCTTCCCCAGCGGAGTAGCCATCTATCGCCGCCGTCCGTTCCGACGTCCAGGGACATCTCGAACGTTTATGCGAGCGGTCGCAAAAAAATGGTTTAGACTCGCGTTTTATGTTAAAATTATGTTCATTGCTTCCGAGGTGCTCAACAACAGAACTATCCTCTAATAAAAGCAAGGTTTTCGAAAAGGGTTTCTTTTGGAGTCGCCACCAATGTTTTGACCTTAAACATTGGAAAAGGATAAAAAGGCGTTGATTTTAATAAAAACCAAACTTGGCCATTATAACCAGAGTTAGGTAAGAGAGTTAGTTACGTGTGGGGAAGGTGTTAGCACCCCACAACGCCCCTTTCGGGTTCCCTATGACGGATTAATTCATTTCAGTAAAGATTACAAGAAATTACGTGATTACCCTATTTTATTGCATAATATTAAAAATGGTTATCTACATGACTTTATTTTATATTGCATATAAACAACAATAAATAAAGTAGTAAAAGAGAAGAGAATTGAACAGAACCTCCGTAGCAAGCTTTGTATTATGAATCTTTGATCGTGAGGATGCGTTTTGGCAATCCTTCGCTCTACAAAGACTCTCCTCTCCGAATACAACACTGACTCGACTAAATTTTAAAGAAGAATCGAATGCTGGAATACAATTCCTTAACTGATTGTTACCTTATTAAGGCAATCAGAGAGTTCATTCGAAGAGGGAAGAGAATAGACAAGTACTGGGAGTTGTCTGGTGTGTGAAACAGTGGCAAATGAGCTTCCTATTTATAGTTTTTGCTGCCTGCACACTTGGGACGCGCGTCTGGGTTGGGAGGGCCGTCACAACTGCCACTTTTGCATATACTGAGACCACCTGGGGAGTCGGGACTGGCAGTCCCACTTGGGACGGCCGTCCCACTTGGCCAGGGAAGGTTGGGACGGCCGTCTCGACCTTGGGACGGCCATCTCAGCCTGTTTTGGCCAGCTTTTGTGTTCTGGGACCCTTGGGAAGCTTTCCTTTCTTTATTCGGACGTCAGTTGATGCCGATAGATGCCCGTTGAAGCTTTATCTTCATATAGGAAGTCTTCTTTGGCCTTTTGAGATGCCGAGCGAGCTTTATCTTGTTATAGGAAGTTTCTTTAGCCTTTATTATTGAGAGGCCGAGCGAGCTTTGTCTTGTTATATGAAATCTTCTCAGCCTTTATTGAGAGACCGGGCAAAATTAGGGGTCTACAACAATAAAATCAAATGTTTCCTAAATTAAAAATTGAAAAATTGGATTGGTGTGACCAGAAAATTTTGGGATTGATTTGGAGAAAATAAACGTTTTTTCCTATTTTAAGTGATCCCACATTGATTTGTATTTAATTCTTGATTCTCACTGACCTTTAATTCAGGTAAATTGGATTCTCGCACAAGTTAATTTACTTAATTCAAAATTATCATTTGTAATGTTCCACAAGTCGGTTGCACAAGCAAACTTGGACTTCCGAGAGGAGTGAAGCTCAACTGCGTCAATTTGGGCATTTATTTCCACCAATTTCCTCAATCTCAAATTACATTTCTCCTACAAAAGAAAAAAAATATATATGCATTGTGGATGTGTGCATGTATATTATTATTTTTTTATGCTAAAACTATGTAAAATACAACATTAAGAAAAATTGAATTATACTATGTTTTGAATGAAAACATGTTACATGCATGGTTTATTAAGAAAATATTTAGTTTAGAAAATGCTCTTAGATCAAGAAATAAAGAGTAAAATGACATATATCATTAATCAACCCCATATGTTTGGCTATCGCCTTCTATGGCTAAGTTTTTGGTTGGTTTTGTAATGTAGCCAAGGGTTGGAGAGGTTGCTTTTCAGTCTAGTGAGGATTGTTCTAATCTTAGTGTGCCATTAGAGAAAGTTTTAATCATAGTGTTAGTTATTCCTCTTCAATTTATTGTAGTTGTGATGATGTTGGTAATGGGGCAACTTTGTTGGTGGTAGAGTAGGTAGAGATTGAGTTTTTGCTAACGGGTGGCTACGATTGGGTGTACCCTTGGGTTAAATAGTACTTTTCAAAGTATCAAAGGTCATTTATTCTTACTTCCTTTGCAACCAGTTAGTGTAAGGTGGAAGGGTAGGTGAGGAGATATTATGTCGCTAGGAAGGTGTAACATTATTCACAATGTGTGTCATGGGCACGAGGGTTAGTTTGAGGATTTATATATATATATATATATATATATATATATATATATATATTTGCTTAATTTGAGACTTGCATTTTTTGGTTTTCCTTTAATGAAGTTCATGATGGGTGTGTTGTAGGTGCTAAATGTGGCACTAAACAACATCTAAATAGTTTTGCATCTTTCCAGACATTTAGGATAATGAGTGACTCCACATTTAAAGCCTACTCCACAGTTTTTTCTGCATTCATTTAGTACTCGTTAGACAATAAAGCTAGTTGGTTATCTTCGATTAGTCAACATTCAAATACCTTGTTTGTGAAATACACTTCCTTCTTCAAAAATTGTAAAACTGGGTTTTTAAGGTTCAAGTGGAGAAAGGGGACAACCTTATTTATATGAAGGTGATAGCCCCAAATTTCCTTTTTATTGAACTTTTGACCCTCTCAGATGTTTGTATTGGTTGACTACCTACCCAGAAACTTTTTAGGACATTTTTATTACGTCGTTATCATGCTTATTTTTTTTGGTATAGTATTTCTCCTTGATTATTATTGCATTTCTTTCTCGATGTTTAACTATTTTGAATGTTTCACATTATTGCATATATTATGGATACTAAATTCCCCCAAGATCATAGGTCCTTTTAAATAGTTAAGGAAAGAGAATGTGCCTTGAGTGGACAAGAGGCAAGATGTTATAGGGGAATCCTCCTTGGTCAAGGCCTCAGCCTAATCTTTTTCCTCCAATCGTTGAAGTCCAGAGGAGACATCACAAATGTGGATTATAGTCTAAAGGTGGTTGGGAATTTCCTAGGGATCGTTCACAGATACATTCTTGAATCCAATATTAGGATATGAGTTATAGCATGTTCTTATGGAGCAATCTTCAAGTCATAACAAAGGTGAACATAGTTTTGAATGCAACTCAGAGGGAGATTTATGCCTCTACTCAACCTATCGATCTATCTATAAGAGGTTTATGGAATTTCAAACTCGGATCGTGCGATTGGGAAAGTATTTGTGCATTGAGTTAGCAAATATGAGTGGGTTAATGTAACAAGTCCCACATTGGGGAGGTCTCCTTACCAGGGAGGCCTTATAAGGTAGGAGGTTCTCCAACCTCTTGAGCTAGCTTTTGAGGGATGGTTCCCCTCTTAGCCTTATAGTTGTTTCAATGGTGCTTTCGTTGAGAGCCAGCCAACTCGAGAAGGGCTACCCACGGAGGGTTCTGACCGCCGGAGGGTTCTGACCACTGGAGGGTTCTGACCGGTAAGAAAGCCGAGTGAAGTGCTAGTGAGTGAAGTGCCGGTGAGTGAAGTGTCGTGGAGTGCAGCCATCGAGGACGCTGGCTTTCGAACGGGGTGGTATTGTAACAAGTCCCACATTGGGGAGGTCTCCTTACCAGGGAGGCCTTATAAGGTAGGAGGTTCTCCAACCCCTTGAGCTAGCTTTTGAGGGATGGTTCCCCTCTTAGCCTTATAGTTGTTTCAGTTAACTAAGGTAACAAAATTTAAGAAGGATCTAGCTGATGCTGATAACTCTTTACAGGAGGCCTTAGAGGCGAATTTTGCTTTAAATGAGAAGGTTGAGGAATTGGAGGACTGGTTGGAGGTAATTACTTCTAAGTGTGCTTCTTAGCATTCTCAATGTGTTCAGTCCATAAGAAAGAGACCTCCCCAAAAAAAGAGATGGATTTGAGCAAATGCTATCCAACATGATTATTGCCTGAGAGGATATGGTAAGAGGAGGTTTCTAAAATGAGGTTCGTGGAGTTGAAGCAATATGTCATGAGTGAGCATGTGGACAGTTTTAAATTAGGCCAATTTTTTGTTTGGGACCTGGTTGAATGATAAGTGTTTTACCGTTCATAAAGATATTTACCAAGGTTGTTTGGTTCCTCTTAACAACATTCCAAATGAGGAGGATGAAGACACTAGTGTTCACCCTAATATTTCTACTGTAAATAACCCACCCGAGGATAATGCTTCCATGGTAGTTTGAGATAATGGGATTGTTTATATGTTTTTTTGTCTAGTATAGTTGCATAGTAGGTAGTTGTGTAATTTTGTTAGGAAATATTATGTTTTTGTCCTTAAATTATTATTTTTTTATTGTTTTTTTAGTGTTCTTAGGAGGGATCATCCATGTTTGAATAAATTTACTTTGTTGATCTATTAACTTGGGGGCATCACTTTAGTCTGGGTAAGCATCATAAACCAATTAGTACTCGAGAGATCACTCTAGATTGAGTCAAGCGTCCTAGAATAAGGTTAATAGTTTAGAGATGATCATTATAGATTGAGTGATGCTTCCTACGCCGCCGAAAAGTTGTGGGTGTTTATGATGAAGAGGTAAGATTTCTATTCAGTAGTAGGAAAAAGAGTACAAATTTGCTAATACAATTAACTAAAGTAAAACTTTAAAAGGATACCTTGGTCTTAGGTGTTGAAAAACAAGTATCTAAATAAAGTACATGGTCAATTTATAGATCTCTCAACATGGCCTCTTAACTACATGCATTTAACACTAGTACAGAAATCACTTTTAACATCGGTCTTTCCACATCGATTCTTTAAAAACCGATGTAGAAAGTGAATTCAAGACTTTCAACATCGGTTTAATTAGGAACCGATGTAGAAAACACTTTCTACATCGGTTCCCAGATGAACCGATGTAGAAAGTCTTTTTATAAAATTAAGGGAATTGTCACTAACAAGATTCGAACTCGAGTACCTTAGAGTCGAAGGCTGATACTCCAACTATCGAACTACTAAGATTTTACGATAATAACTTATAAATAAATTATATTTATATACAAATAAAAATGTATATCGATGTAAATATAAATATAAATATATATATATATAATATAAATATAAAATATATAAATACAAATACAAATATATTTATATATTTATATGTTGGATGTGAGAACGCGCTCGAGAGTGAAAGTGTGTGTCAAGTGGGTTTTCAAAATTTGATGTCAAATTTGTGAGCGAGTCTCTTTATATGAATTTGTAATTTAATAATAGAATATAATCTTTAAAATTTATTTATAAAAATATAGAATATAATCTTTATAATTAATTATATAATGATATAAAATAAAGAAAAAAATTATTTTATATCATTATATAAATAAATTATAAAGATTATATTTTGTCATTAAGTTATAATTCATATAAAGAGACTCGCTCACAAATTTGACATCAAATTTTGAAAATTCACTCGACACACACTTTCATCCTCGAGCGCGCCCTCACATCTAACATATAAATATATTTGTATTTGTATTTATATATTTTATATTTATATATTTACATGGATATACATTTTTATTTGTATATAAATATAATTTATGTATAAGTTATTATCGAGAAAATCCTAGTAGCTTCGATGGTTGGAGTATCAGCCTTCGACTCTAAGGTACTGAGTTCGAATCTTGCCAATGACAATTCTCTTAATCTGATAATAATTCAAATTCCTAAAAAATATAAATAATATAATAAATAATAAAAATATAATATAAAAGGGAGAAGAGACATAATAAAAATGTAATATAAAAGGGAGAAGAGACCTCTAGATCAATAGATAGGATAATTAGAGAGGGGTTATGAATAAATAAAATAAATGAAAATATTAGACTTTCTACTTCGGTTCCTTACAACCGATGTGGAAAGTCACACTTTCTACATCGGTTCTAGAACCGATGTTAAAAGCTTATTTTGTACTAGTGTAATATAACTACAATCTCTCAACTACATACATTTAATGTTTACCTAACAAAATCCCCCCATAAACTTAAATGTTTTTCTTGTCCTTTATTCCAAACATCTTCTTGATGTTCTCGAACATAGTGGTCGGCATTGGCTTCGCGAACATATCTGCAGTTTGTGCTCGGGTTCCGGTGTGCTCTAACTCCACATTTCCTTCTTTCACTTGTTCTTGGATGAAGTGCAACCGAACATCAATATGTTTGCTTCTCTCATGATTAACGACGTTCTTTACCATTTCAATGGCCAACTTATTATCAACTCGAATCACAGTCCCTTTTTCTTGCTTCAACTCTAGCTTGCTTAGAAGGTTTCTAAGCCAAACTGCAAGGCAGACACTCCAGGATGTTGCAACATACTCGGCTTCGCAAGTGGACAACATTACAATTGGCTGATTTTTTGAAAGTCAGGTGAGCATTGTGTTTCCCATGAAGAATACATATCCAGATGTGTTTTTCAATCATCAACATCTCAACACCAGTCACTATCCGAGTAGCCTACTAGTCGGTAATCATCCGTCCTATTATACATTAGGCCAAGTGACAATGTTCCTCTCACATACCTTAGAATTTTCTTTAGTGCCTTCCAATGAGTATACCTTGGCTCCTCCATATACCGACTTGTTATTCTAATACTTAGCATTAAATTTGGTCTGGTATTTATAAGATACCTAAGACTTCCAATCAGACTTCGGTATTTGCTCGCATCAACTCAATCTCCATCTGCATACTTAGAAAGTTTTGTACCAAGTTCCATAGGGGTGGAAACCGGGTTGCAACTTGTCATCTTAAACTTCTTCAAGACCTCCTCAGCATACCTTTCCTACAACACAAAGATGTCATCCTTTCCCTAAACAACTTCTAAACCAAGGAAATATTTCATAACACCCAAGTCAGTCATTTCAAACTCCTTCTTCATCACTTCTTTAAACCCTTCAATCAGCTCGGCATTATTCCCCATGAAGATAAGGTCATCAACATATAGGGCAACGAACATCACATCTTCTCCTTTCTTCTTTATGTATAGAGCATGTTCATAAGGACATTGCTCATATCCATTCCTCTTGAGGTAAATGCCAATTCTTTCATTCCATGCTCATGGAGCTTGTTTTAAGCCATAAAGTGCCTTCTTCAATCTCAGCACTTTTTTCTCTTCACCTGTTTCACATGTATCCGAGGGGTTGTTCAACATATACTTCCTCCTCCAAGACTCCATTCATAAATGTCAACTTCACGTCCATCTGCAAGATTGTCCATCTGTGTTGAGCTGCTAAGGAAATTAGCAACCTAATTGTTTCCATCCTTGTCACTGGGGCGAATACTTCATCATAGTCTATTCCTTCCTTCTGCTTGTATCCCTTCACAACGATTCGAGCTTTATATCGATCAACTTCTCCTTCAACATTTGTCTTCTTCTTGTACACCCAATTTACACCAATAGGTCGTGCTCCTTTGGGCAAGTCAGTCAGCTCCCACGTATTGTTGCATTCTATTGCCCCGATCTCTTCGTCCATTGCCTTTTTCCACCTTTTCTCCTGCACGTCCTCTTCAAAACTTAAGTCTTCTGAATTTGCTAAGAAACATACAACATGCACTTCGTCAATAGAGTTGTATATATCTTGTAAACTTCGTGTTCTAGGTTGTAGAGGTTCATCTTCTTCATCAGAAGTCTCATGATCTCTCACAATATGTGGTGTATCAACTTTCAAGCTTCTACTTCCTATGGACTCCTTCTCTGGGTTGTTCCAATTCCACTCGCTTTCTTCATCAATTTGAACATCTCGGCTCATAATGACCTTCTTAGTTATTGGGTTAAACAACCTGTACGCCTTGATTTTTTCATCATACCCAATAAACACGTACTTTTTGCTTCTATCTTCGAGCTTGGTCCTCTGTTGAACTGGAACATGACCATAAGTTATGCTACCGAACACGTTAAGGTGAGACACACTCAGCTTTCTTCCACTTCAGACTTCTTGCGGTGTCTTCTCGTTTAGCTTAGCATGTGGACATCTATTTTGCACATAGGTGGCACATTGTACTGCTTCTGCCCAAAACTCCTTTGACACGTTCTTTCTTCTTGTAGACCCTAAATCTTGTCCGGCCTCAAAATAAAGAGCAGAAGACTTTCGTTCGAAGATGGATAAGGCCTTAAAGGTCCCTAGGATTGTTCAATAGGCTCCATATTAGAATAGGAAGGCTTTTTGTACACAAAAATAGGAAAATTCTACCCAGAAGACCGAGATCGTTGTCTTGTTTGGCGAGATTGTCGTCTCACCATTGGTCAAAGGTGAGACCGTCATCTTGCCATTTGTCAAAAGCGAGACCGTCGTCTCGTTTGGCAAGATCGTCGTCTCGCCATTTGTCAAAAGTGAGACCGTCGTCTTGCCATTTGTCAAAAGCGAGACCGTCGTCTCATTTTGGAATGACCGTAGTCTCACCATTTGCCAAAGGCGCGACAACGGTCCCGAATGTCGAGATGGCGGTCCCAGTCTGACGGACACGAATTTCTATAAAAAGAGGGGTCCTCTCCTCGTTTTTCACAACTTCTCCAACTAAATATACCCTCTTATACTCTTCTAGAATCCCTCTGAAGCATTTCTAGAGTCTTAGGATTCTTTTTAGACATTCTAGATTCCTTCGGGAGAAGAGTGAGCAGCATTGTAGAGCATGGGGTTTGCCAAAAAACGTCCTTTATAAGAGCATTTATAAAAGCTTGCTTCGAAGGTTTTTTACATCCGTTATTCTCTTCATTCTATCGCTTTTATTACCCTCTCTGCGCATTAGATATTAGGGTCATGTAGTCAATTATTTAAATTTCGCAATGAATAAATAAGGGTAAAAGCATGATTTCAATGTTCTTATTTCTTTACAATAAACAGTCCATCATAGGGAACCTGAAAGGGGCGTCGTGGGGAAGCTAATACCTTCCCCACACGTAACTAACTCCCTTACCTAACTTTGGTTGTAATGACCAAAGTTGGTTTTTTCTTAAAACCATCGCCTTCTTTTCCTTTTCCGATGTTTTTGGTAAAAATATTGGTGGCGACTCCAGAACCCACTTATGAAAACCCCATCCTTAGAATAGTTCGGTTATCGGACATCCTAAGAGTGATGACCACACTTTAAAAAATACGAGTCGAATCAAAAGACCATCGCGTCGCTCCGACCTCCTCTTTTGACGGCATCGACAGATGGTGACTCCACTGGGGAAGCTAGAGAGTTGATC